CGCTTCCCAGTAAGGCTGCCAGTTTCTGGAGCAAATAGCAAACAGCCTTGCTGACATGCTAATTGACCCAAGCTTTGTTCCAAGGTCGGGGTGGGGGGGGGTGCACAACAGTAGCCTTGCCAACGTGTTGATCCAACCGGAAGCGGAGCTCAAAGGTCAGGGGGCTCAGACAGATCCTGGGGCCTCACCGGGTAGGACTCCTCCAATTAGATTTCAGCATATACATGTGGGAGGGACATAAACATTCAGACTTTACCAGTGTGTTATCAATTTTTCAACCAGAGGACTGGTACCTACTTCCCACATTTGAGAGGGCTGGAATCAGTAGGTAAGCCCAAATTCTGCCCTTCTTCTCATCCCAGCCATCTCCTCTCAAACTCAGATACTGCCTTCCTTGGATTCAGATGGCATCCCTGCCTTGCCATTCAGCTGCTGAGCTCCCCTTTGGACTTGATTTATGGTTGCTGACTCAGTTCCGAAGTTCCATTTTTCACTTTCCCTGCACTGGCTCTCTTTGCAGCTTGCTGCCATCAAGTGCATACTGAGATGAGGCAAAGCCTGGCTGTTCCTAGGAGAGCTTATTTCAGTTCCTGAGATTATAGCCAGAAAGGAGAGCTCCAAGCCCTTTGAATGTAAGAGAAGGAACTAGGATCCCACAGCTGTTTTGATGCCATGGACTTCCTTCTCAGTGTAGCCAAGAGCATGGGATTTAGATTTTGACAATTTAATTTCCATTCCAGGCTCTGGTACCTATCAGCTATGGGTAATGTTAACTAACCTCTTTTAGTCTCATTTTATTGTTTGTAAAATGATAATAAAATACAACCTCAAAGGTTTATCATGAGCATGAAATGAGATAGTTAATGTTACTCAGTACAGTATAGGAAGGGCTCATTTCATATTTTGTCAGGTCATTATAGGACTTGGGCAGAGACACAAACAAGAAACCATAGGTTGCTGGTGTACAGCATCCAAGGATTTTGACTTTATTGACTCAAGTAGCCAGTGGTAGAGGCAGTGGGATGCAGAGGGAGAAGCAGCATCTCATTTGTCCTTAGTCGTCCTCTCAATCCAGGATACATATTTGTAAACATTGGTGTAGATGCCGACATCTCCTCCCATGAAGTGCCCAACTTCGATCCCCTGGAGCTTGTTTTTGCAGATGACAGTAGCAAGAGCCACCTCCTAACAGAGATTGTGCAGAGAGAGAGGGTTAAAGAGAGAGAGAGAGAGTTCACATATTGAAATGTTCACTTCATAAGTTAAATAATGTGATTGAAGGTATAAAAAATAAAAGAGAGAGAGAGAGAGAGAGAGAGAGCTGGTCATATCCTCTCCTCACAGGAACTACTTATGACCCCAACTTGGGTGAACCCTGCTTAGAGGCAGGACTGCCTAGAGGCAGGACACTGGGTCGTGAAAAGAATACTAAGTAGGGGCAGAAAGCTTGGATCCTTTTGCCATCTTTGCTGTAACTAGCCTTGTGTGATCTTGAGCGAGTCAGAGAAGACTTTTCTGGAAATCACCTATTAAAGAAGTCAAACCCTTTTATTTGAACTGGTGAAGCCACTTTCAATTTGTGAAAAAGTTAGAATGTTTTTTAAGCAATGCCCCTTCCACTATTTTACTTGCAGCTATGAGAATGAACACCTTTGAGATTTTTGGGTATCCATGCCTAGGCACCTGGCATGCTAGTTAGAGGTACTAGATGATGCCCTTTAATGAAGAGATATTCTGCAAGAAGAGCTGTTACTGAAGAGACAAAGGAGACTTTACAGCAGCCTTATAAATTCTACCCAAATTATTTAGAAGTTTTTTTAAAAGGCTTTTTTTTTTACATTATGATTAAGTTAACTAGATGCATACAAATAAATGAAAGATAAATATTGGGAAAAGATTACCCCAAAAATCCGGCTGAATACTTTCACAAATTTAACACATAAGGAGTTTCTGTGGCTTTTTCCTTGTTCAGTTTTCTGGCAGTCTTTATCAGACATCACAGGGGCCTCCAGGTTCTGCCTTAAATCAGGATGTCTGCCTGAGGGAAAACGGGGTTGAAAGAAAACGTCCTTCAGTGATTTTATTTAATCTTTCTAACCTTAGTTCTTCGAACTGGTGCCTTTTTGTGTGTGTCTGAAGAAAATAATGATAAAGAGGGAAGAAATGATCTTGAGCAAGGTAATGAGAGTCAATTTTGAGGATTTCTAAATAGCCTTCATGTCAGAGAGAGAGAGAGACAGAGAACAGAGAGAGGGAGAGGGAGAAAGCATCCCCCAAAGGGAAGTGGTCGCACCGTAATCCTGTCTCCTGCATTTTCCCATCCTATTGAAATTTTAGGCAGGTGTGCACATGAGCCTAGTGTGTTTTCCAAACCATGGGGGCGGGATTTAAACCATGTTCATCCTGTGGTATCTGGCTGTCTTTAACCATTAAGCTTTGGGGTTGGCTCACCTTAATGCCTTTTTTTTTTTTTTTTTTGTTTTTTA